CCTGCTGAGAACATGCAGTTTGGTTCCAGTAGGTCGGCTCTGTGCTGCCAATACCTCCCCATCCCAGTTCTGCAAGAGCCTAATTTATCACCTCCTGGGGGACCGAGAGCAAATCAGGTCGGAATCAGGACCAAGGCTGAAGAGCCGAGTGAAAGATTCATCACGCAGCTGGCCGACGCTCCAGCACTGAGACAGGCCAGTGAAATACACCCACGTGGGCTGCCCTGTTTATTAGAAGCGCTCAGCTTTCTGGAATAAATAGGAGAATCGCCAACAGCAAAGTTAAGTGATTTACAAAGCCCGTTAGAAAAATACCGGTATCTGGGATGCAGAGTCTCTATTTTGAGTCAATTTTTAAAAAACGAAAACAAATTTTCAAGGGCAAGACCTCACAGTAGAAGAAAATCCTCTCCTAAGAAAAGACCGAATGGTTTACAGTGATCAAATCTACGTGCTATTTCATGACTCATGGCCTGGGCCCAAGGAGAGGTTCCCCTGAGGCAGAGGTTGGCCGCACATCCGGAGAACGCAGCGGGCTAGGAGGAGAGATGCCTATGCATTAGTATAAGGCAAAAAGCAGAGTGCCCAAGCCTGGCCATTTCCACAGAGAAAACAGACCTGATGGCCACCTTCCTTCATCAGAGTCACCTTGTGGTAGGCTGTGAGATGGACAAGCCAGGTGGTATAAGAGAGAGACTTGCTTTTAACTGTGACTGGTCCCTTTGGTGCCACCACCTTTCTCTACTGGAGATGGGGGAGGGGGAGGGGAAGAGCAGGAAATCCCATTCTTGCTTCAATGTCCTGACCCCACCCTTTGCTCAAGCAGAGGTTAGACCTCCCCGCCACCAGGGGTGAGTCCTGGGTGGCGGCTACCTGCCAAGCGACAAGAACCACACCACGGGGTCCCCGAAGACGTTTCCCTGTCACACACTCTTGCCTTACGGCTGCTGGCGTCAGAGTCCCCGGGATGTGCCTGGGCCAAAGGTGGTCTCGGAGTCAAAAGGATGGGCCGCCAGGTAGTCTTTATACTCCCCGTCAATCAGGTTGGCGGCGTTGTTCCGGGCAAACCAGCAGTCCACCTGCTCTTCCCCATTGTAGATTTTCCTCTGCTTCCACACCACTGGGACCTGGTGCCCTTTTACCTCGAGGATGGCCTCAGACCTCTCACCTGTCTCAGGGATGGAAGGATGGGCAGGGCTCTTGCCGACCCCGGTGAGTCTGGCCTCCTGGTTCAGGAACTGACCTGAGAGGACAAAAGAGACATCAGGTCTAGGTCAAGTGCGAGCAACGTGGTTGAACAAAATCTAACTTCAGTTCGGGCACCCATGGCCAGCAAATGCACGGGTGTGACCCAGAGGAAGGGGATGCATGACATCAGAGCAGTGACTGTGGTCCTCGGCTGGAGTCTCCCAGAGCTGCTCCACCATTTCCAGTGTCCGAGGAGGGTGTGGGGAGGAGAGACCTGAGTGTATTGGTAGTGGCCTCCACTTCTGGAAGCTACCACGGGAAAGATGCCCAACCCACAAGAAGAGATGCCCAGTCTCCTACTGAGATGGGAGGATTAGATGGGGGTAAATAACAAGGGAAGAAGGGTCCGGTCTTCCCCGCTTTCCTCCCTCGGAGGACCCCTTCCACGTGTGCACTTAGTGGGTGTGCACTGGGCGGAGGGTGTGGAAAGCAGGGTCAGAACCCTCCAGGTCGAGTGAGGGCATTGCCAAGGCAGAAGGGACAGCAGTCTGCGTCTGGGAGAGGAGCTTCCCAGGCAAGCTGCACAGAGACACGTCCAGCTCGACTGCCAGGAAATCCTGCTTTCTAAACCGAGCCCTGGCAGTGGCTCCCTCTTTACTTGTGGGAAAAGCGCCCACATGAAATTGCACGTGGAGGGAAGCCAGGCAGAGTGGGCTGCCCGAGGCTCCCAGCCATGGGGGTGCCGCCTGGGGAGGGGCCGTGCATCTCCCACCTGGTGCTGGGCCATGGGATGTGTCTGCATCCTCTCCCTGAGAGTAAAGAACCAGACCTGGAGAGAAGGACTCCTCATTTCTTTGCTCCCCTTCCCCAAAGGCCTGTGCAAATTAGTTTATAAGCCCATTCCTATTCTAGAAAAGTGTCAGGAAGCAAGAAGTATACTTTTCACACTAATTCGAAAAGATATGTTCACCCCAACATTCACAGCAGCATTGTTTACAGTTGCCAAGATACAGAAGCAACCTAAGTGTCCATCAACTGACGAGTGGATAAAGAAGATGTGGTATACAGTGGAATATTACTCAGCCATGAAAAAGAATGAAATTTTGCCATTTGCAGCAACACGGATGGACTTGGAGTGCATTATGCTAAGGGAAGTAAGTCCAGAGACAGACAAATACCGTATGATAGCACTTATATATGTGGAATCTAAAAAATACAACAAACTAGTGAATATAACAAAAAAAAAGCAGAGTCACAGACATAGAGAACAAACTAGTGGTTACCAGAGGGGAGGGGGAAGGGGCAAGAGAGGGATGAGGGAGTGGGAGGCACAAACTGTTGGTGTAAGACAGGCTCAAGGATGTGTTGTACGACACAGGGAATATGGCCAGTATTTTGTAGTAACTGTATATGGAGTGTAACCTTTAAAAATTGTATTTAAAAAAAAGAAAAATTGGCCATGTGCCCCCCAAAAAAAAGAAAAAAGAAAAAGAAATAGACTTTTCATGAGCTACATAAAGACCACATTCCTGTGGAAACTCTCAACCAAGTAAAGATACGGGCAGCATCAGCTTCGTTTTGGGAAACTGAATTCTGTGCTGTGAGCCAGCATGGAGAGCAGCCACCTACCTAACAGGCCATGGCAGTTGCCAGAAAGGCCTTGGCCGTTGGCGACGTAGAAGCCCAGGTGGTTTCGCTGGTAGGGGGCTGGCTTTTTGTAGAGGTGGAGGAGGATGACGAAGGCCACGTTGCCCTGGATGGCGATGGTGACCTTGGCATTGGCGGACACCGACACCTCCAGCCCCTGGCTCCCCACGGCCGCGCTCTGGTTGCAGGGGAGGACCAGCCTGTCCCCACCATCCACAATGACTCTGGTGGGCGTGATCTCCAGGTAGGACCTCTCGGGCTTGTTGACGAGGATGGTGATGGTGCGGAAGTAAGTGCGCTGTTTCTTGTGGCCGTTTGGGGGAGCGGGGGCCCCGATCAACTCTCCGTTCACCGTCACGCCTTGAAGGCGGGGGGAAGAGAGCAGTGGTTAGAAAAACTACCCCCACTTTCACGAGAGGGCTTCTCATCCGAATTTCCTTCCTCTCTTGTACCTCTAGAACCAAGAACTTCCGCTCACACACAGGGACCACTCAGTGCCCAATGAATGAAGGAAGGAAGGAACGAATGCATGAAGGTATGAGTGATTTTTCTTGCGTTATGCGGGCCTCTCACTGTTGTGGCCTCTCCCATTTGCGGAGCACAGGCTCCGGACGCGCAGGCTCAGCAGCCATGGCTCACGGGCCCAGCCACTCCGCGGCATGTGGGATCCTCCCGAAACGGGGCACGAACCCGCGTCTCCTGCATCGGCAGGCGGACTCTCAAGCACTGCGCCACCAGGGAAGCCCGGTATGAGTGATTTTTGACCAACGTCCTGGGTAGGAGAAGCTGATATAGGTTTGGGTAAAAATATCATGAAAAGGGGGTTGACATATACACACTACTATATATAAAATAGATAACTAATAAGAACCTGCTGTATAGCACAGGGAGGTCTACTCAATACTCTGTAATGACCTATATGGGAAAAGAATCTGAAAAAGAGTGGATATACGTATATGCATAACTGATTCACTTTGCTGTACACCTGAAACCAACACAACATTGTAAATCAACTATATGCCAATAAAAATTTAAAAGTGGAAAAAAAATAAGTAAATAAATAAAAATTCTAAAAAAGGGGGTTGACATGTTTGTCTGCTTTCATTCCAGTGTCTGGTTATAGTTCCCCAAACTCTTGTGTGGCCCTGACACGGTATTTTCTTACCCATCAGTTTCCACTGCTCCTGACTTGGAGACCCTGGGACACCACTGAGCAGGGGGGTAGAATGCGAAGATTAGGATTTTTTTTTTTCACTCCCAAAACTCAAGTTCTTTCACTTTCTAGGCAGAACTCACCAGAGTCCGCATGATCAGAGACCAGCCTCAGGATGTGCCCGGGCTGTCCATCGATGTTGAAACAGACCGTGAGGTTGCTCAAGGGGAAATCCACAACAAAATGGGGGTCTCCATCCGCTGCCAGAAAAGGATGAGAATGGAAGAGAAAAAGAAGGAAAAGACATTTATTGGGCACCTTCTCTGTGTAAGCACTCTTTTTCTATTTTCTCATGAGTTATTGACTTAACCCTGCCAACAATGGATCCTCTGTGTCTACGCGAGGAAGGTGGCTGGGAGGTGAAGTGATGCACCAGTTACACAGTCAGTTCGTGGAACGTAAATATTTGAATGCAGGTCCCCTAAATTCAAATATGATGCTCCTGTCACCACACTGCAGTCAAACATAGACAACTGAACTTTAGAGGGAAGCGGGGCATCACCCTACACTCCCCATGACTACTGAGCTCACATTCTTCAATTCCCTGTGTGGCTTCCACTAATCACTTTCTTCCCCCTTTGCCCTCCCCAGTGAAGAGATGTGGATGAGAACTTCCTGTCCTGTGACCAGAGTGCCTTGGCCCTTGAGTCATTCACAGCGCCAGATGGACACAGCCCTTGCATGAGTAGTAATGACCAAGCCCAGTTTAGAGCTGGTGAGAAGTAAAGGACACAGAGTCAACGGGAGGTCAGGTGGTGCAGCCAGCGATGACAGTGGCAATCCCTCCTCCGGGTCCTACTGCCTTTACTACTCTCAAATTTGTGTCCGCGGATAAGACCACAAAGTTTAGCTGGCCCCTGTTCCTTACCCATTCTCCTCATTTTTGCCTCTGCTAAAGATGAACAGTCTTGCCTCTTACTGTACAGACAAAATATTTCCCAAGAGTCTATGTCAATTCTCTTTTCTCACGAGATTGGAGTGTTAGTTTCTCTCCAATTTGCACACCAAACACAATGTGTTCCTGAATTCCTCTCTACTTTACGTGTACATGTATGTATACGCATTTGTATATGGTGGGGGGTATGCGCCAGGAGTTCAAGTGTTTTCAAGCTACAAGCCAATTAATGTTCTTGGTGGAACTGCTGAAACACCCTCTCTGTCCCCAGCGTGACTCAGAAGGGCCTTCGGAAGAGTCTGGTTCAACTCACCGTAAAGTGCCTCAAGCACCCAGTGAATGGCAACTTAATAAAGAAATACAAGGTACTGGTCTTTTGTAGATGAAAAAAATAACACCCATTAAAGATAAAAGTCCATATTTTTGGCACTCTGTGGGTACAAATATAACTACGTGACAGTTTTCTGAGAGTTTCTTGTGCTCATACCATATTATTTCTACTCAAATCTGCCAAATCCCTTTATAAGGAAAGATGCTGCCTGCTCCAAAAAAGAGAGGAGAGGTCTGGAAGTCATTACTCCATGCTGCATCCAAGAGGAAAGTTTTCCTGCATTCCATAAAGCATGTGTGTTCGAAGGAACAACACGCTACCCACTGGAAACCATGTGTTTCCTCTCCCCAGAGCTAATCTCCAGGTTGTCCTGGGCTATGTGAACCTGGACGCCCAGCACGTCGGCAGCAAAGCAATAAGAAAGACAAAGGCAGATGTGTACATTTGAAGAATAAAACCCAGCCCTTGTGTCCTTATTCCATCCAGATTTTTATTATAATCCGAGGAATATGGCCAAGGGAAATTTTAGGGTATTGTTATCCGGTATTCCCTTCTAAAGCCAAGGATCATGAAAATAATAAAATAATAATGTTTAAAAACCTTGCATTGTCACAGATATTTGTAACACCAGAAGCTAGAAGCAAGCATACTTCAGATCTCTAAAAACTAACGTCTTTCCAGCTCAATCATGACGCATGTGTAGCTCTGTCCATCCACCCTTCTATCAGGGCTCCTGCCAGGCTCCTCAGGACTGTGTTACCCATGGAGTTTATGTGATGGTTTAATGACGATCCTGGTTTTGAGAACTGCCCCACGCTGCCGGTTTGCACTAAATAAATATGGGCCCTCACATCTCGTCCTATGAGCTGATGTTCTAACTGGCTTCGGGAAATTCCTGGTCATCCGCTTCCTAAACATTTCAACTCTCAAATCAGACACCAGCACATTCCTTCCTTTACCTGAGGTTTTGGAGACTTTAATCCTTGGGTTGTATGGTTTCTTGAGAGCAGGTCCTGGAGAGGAGAAGGAAGAGATCCACCACCGTTATTCATTAAAGAGGAGGAAGTGAGAGGTACAGAGGGCTGAGAGGAGTCAAGTACAGCTCTCAGATACGTTTGTGACAATTTAAACACATCTCTTTTAAAGGAGGCTCTTGGCCTCACAACACCAAGTGAAGGTGTAAACGACGAGGCGTAACTATTTTATTCCTCTATAAATTAGATAATATTCTTCTTGTCTGATTTCTGTGTATATAATAGGAGAAAATATTCTATCATTCTTAAGGTATAGTTATGGGGGGAGGGGGGAAAGCAAAGTTGTTTAATGGGGACAGAGTTTCAGGTTCACAAGATGAAAAAGTTCTGGAGATCTGTTTCACAACGATGGGAATATACTTGACACTACTGAACTGTACACGTAAAAATGGTTACGATGGGAATATACTTGACACTACTGAACTACACACTTAAAAATGGTTACGATATAGAGAACTGACTGGTGGTTGCCAGCGGGGAGGGGGTTGGGGGAGGGATGGACTGGGAGGTTGAGGTTAGCAGATGTAAGCTTGTATATAGAGAATGGATAAACAACAAAGCCCTACTGTATAGCACAAAGAACTATATTCAGTATTCTCTGATAAACCATAATGGGAAAGAATATTACAAAAAAAGAATATAACTGAATCACTTTTCTGTATAGCAGAAATTAATGCAACACTGTAAAGCAAGTATACTTCAGTTTAAAAAAAAGAATGGAGGGCTTCCCTGGTGGCGCAGTGGTTGAGAGTCCTCCTGTCAATGCAGGGGACACGGGTTCGTGCCCCGGTACGGGAGGATCCCACATGCCGCGGAGCGGCTGGGCCCGTGAGCCATGGCCGCTGAGCCTGCACGTCCGGAGCCTGTGCTCCGCAACGGGAGAGGCCACAGCAGTGAGAGGCCCGCGTACCGCAATAAAAAAAAACAAAAGAAAGGAAAAAATGGTTATGATGGTAAATGTTACGTTATATGTTTTTTGCAAAATAGCAATTTAAAACAACCAAAAATATACAAGAATGTAAAAGAAAAAGATAATGCGATAATCCAGGTCTATAGCTATGTGTGTAAGTACAATTCACAAAGCAGCAGGCAAAAATAAACAATTAAAGAATAACCTAAAAGTAAATCACTTTCTGTCAATAAAATAAAATTAATATCTTATTTCAAATTGTCTATATTAAGATTATGCTCCTCTTAACTGATTTTTGCCCCCCAGAAAATGAAGATCACAGTATCTCAATGTTTTTGTTTGTTTGTTTGCGGTACGCGGGCCTCTCACTGTTGCAGCCTCTCCCGCTGCGGAGCACAGGCTCCGCGACCATGGCTCACAGGCCCAGCCGCTCCGCGGCATGTGGGACCTTCCCGGACCGGGGCACGAACCCGTGTCCCCTGCATCGGCAGGCGGACTCTCAACCACTGCGCCACCAGGGAAGCCCTCAATGTTTTTTAAGCGCCCCCTTCTCCAACTGGTCCCTGGTCAGCCAGACACAGACAGAATCAGGCCGACCACGAAGGTGGAACGACATCTCAGTCTGAATGGCTGCTTCGAGGAGGCTTAAATTGTCACAGACACTCAAAAAAATCATAAAATTAAAACTAAAAAATCATCTTCAGGGAAATCCTATGTCTAATAAGCCTTCTGAGCAATCAGTCAGTTATTCCCTCATCTGTGTTCCTGGCCCTCTGAGTCTCATGTCATTTGAGTTTGCTCTCTCCTGAAGCTGTTGAGATTTGAGTTGCTGACACTGAATCAAGATGTTACTCAAAAAGCCATCTTCCCTGGATGTGGTGGCATGGATCTTGTAGTGTGACGTAACAACATCATGCAACTTACTTTTCATCCTTTTCATCAGAACAAATATTGTACTAGTTTTGCCAAGACGAGTTCCACTCTTTCTAAAAAGGCAACATATCATTTTTCACCCCTACCTCAAGTCTGAATTTTTCAGTAAATTTCTAGTTCTATACTCCTCACGGGAAAGGGTATCTCACATGTGTAGAACACTTATTATATACCAAGGCCTCTACACATTTCATCCTTGCAACAACCTTTCAGGGAAGATATTACTATCTACATTTTACAGGTGAGGGAATGGAAGCTCAGAGACGTTCAGAAACCTGCCCCAAGCCACACAGCTGGCTAGGAGGAGCCGTGAGCTGAAACTCTGCCTGGATCCTAACCGTGTGCTCTCCCTACCGTGCCCAGGTGATTCTCAGAGTTGAGGATATGAGGATCAAATGAGGCCCAGGGTTAATGTCAGTTCCCTCACCTTAGGATGTGTGCACCTGACAGGAAGTTAAGAAAAATGTCACACATAAAAAAGTGCTATTTTCCATAAACAGATATTACTGATAATATAACCCTCTGCTTTGGCTGAATTACTTTTTCTGTCCTTTTCCCATTCCTGGTGCTACTAATTTCCCCTGACAAATGGCACTGAGACAGATAATAAGAATTTCTCTTTAAACTCTGGATTCTCTTGAGAATCCAGAACTTAGTTCCTCCTATATAATAATATCTATAATAAAATAAAATTTTATTAATTTTATTTAATTCTAAACAAAATCATTAAAATTTAAAAAATAAAACTTTAATTTAGAAAATTATAAGTAAAATTAATAAAATATGAGTAAATAAAATATATAATAAAATTTCATTTCATTTTCTCTATAAAATAAAATATTTTGTTTTCTCAGGAAAATAGTATCAAACATACGCATAAAATGACATAATTGAAGTACTTAAAATATAGAAAGGCATTTAAAAATGAGTATTTGTTTACTTGTCTGTTCATCCCTGTGCCTCCAATAATGCCTGGTTCACGGGAGGCACTCAATATTGATGATTTATCGGTAGACTGACTTTACTTTCTCGAATTTCTCTGTAGAGATCCATGGTTTATAACAACACAAACATAAGCTAAGCCACTCTCTGGAGGCTAGGAGCTGCAGGTAGAGAACATTGTTTATAAGAATTATAATACGAGAAAGTAAAACAGATGACCTTGGCCTGAAAAGGAGCCAGAAGGGCCATCCTGAGAGTGCCCTTACCTGGCTGCAGGTGGGCGCCCCTCAGGCTCTGCATCACCGTTTCGGGCTCTGTGGCTGCCGACGTGCCGTAGGTGTCCTCCGGGGTCTCTGTCCGCGGTGCTGACCTGAGCGTCATGGAGGTGAACGGAGTGAGGAAGCGATGGTTCACAGCCAGAGCCTGTACCTCCTGCCTCAGCCGCTCCCTCTCGGGCTGCTCATCACTCTGCAGCCAGGAACTCAGCAGCTCCTTCAGGGTCAGGTAGCTCCAGAGACGCTCCAGGTAGTTTGGGTCCTCCTGGACAGCCCCCTTGGGCCTGGGGCTCCCCGGGACGTCGTTCCCCATCCTCCAGGGCTCCACAGGCACGTCCTTCTTGAGTACGACAAACTTCTTACTGTTGCTGGCTGTGACCTCTACATGCAAGCAGTCCATCTCCCTGTCCACCAGCTTCCCCGCGATGATGATCTCGGAGCCATTGAAGTAGCTGGGGAACAGGGTCCTGGTGGCATGCTCTACCAAGCCGGGTGGATAATCCACGCGGATGTCCGTGAGGAGCGGGGTCCTGATCTCATCGTAGAACCTGGAGAGGAGGAACAGAGAGCGAGAATCGGGGCCTGCACTAGCTGTAGGCAGCTCACGTCCCAGAGGAAATCACAGGCTGTCTTGGGGGGCGGATCTGATCTTAGAAGCAACCAAGTCCAACATTCCACCCAGCAGAACATCTCAGACAGGAGGCCCTGCAGCCGTAGCTCGAACACCACTGGTGACGGAGAACTCACTATCTCACAAGCTCCCTCGCCGTTTGCCAGACTTAAATTCTGGTTTCCTCTTCACCCCAGAACATAACACAGTCAGTGACCACTTTCAACTGGCCATTGTGCTTCAACGTAAAAACACGATCATTGTAACTAGCAGGCAAGGTGGAGCTGACGCTACCTATCCCAGCTCTCTCTCAGGGTGGAATTAGAGTAAATACAGGCATAAATTGTTTTATTGCACATCAAAGACCTAGCATTTTTTCGCAAAATGAAGGTTTGTGGCAATTCTGCATTGTCAGATGATAGTTAGCATTTTTTAGCAATAAAGTATTTTTCAATTAAGGTATGTACATGACACTATTGCATGCTTAATAGACTACAGTGTGATGTAAACATAACTTTTATGTGCACTGTTAAAGCAATCCACCTGTCGGACTCACTTTATTGCAATATTTGCTTTATCGCTGTGGTCTGGAACTGACCTGCAGTATCTCTGAGGTGCGTCTTGAGATGAGGAAGTGCTTTGAAGTGTCAGGAAGACAGTTATAACCATAAGAGCTAACAGAACACCTAACCTGTGAAAGCCGTCCTGCCAATAGTTCACATAGGTTTTCTCCTTAAATTCTATCATCTGACCAGAATCCTCACTTCACATTTGGGGAGACTGAGGCACAGACAGTCTTAAAGCCTCAAGTCACAAGGCAGGACCAGAACGTGAACCCAGATCCACCCAGTTTCAAGACCCATGGCGATGTCTCCCATGAAAGGAGTGATGATCAGACTCGGGGTCCGTCCTCACGTCCGAGCCTCCCGCTGAGCCTGCCCCCCGCCCCGAGGACACAGACAGACCCACGGACCCGATGAGCTGGGCGCGGGCGTCGTGGTCCTCGTGGACGTGCCGTGTGAGCCCACAGTTCTCCAGGGACAGCTTCTCCAGCAGCTTGAAGTCCACGTCGGCCCCGATGCCCACAGTGAAGATGCAGACCCGGCCCCGGGCGGCCTCCCTGGTGTTGTTGAGGATCTTCAGGGTGTGGGTCTCCCCGGCGGTGGGCTTCCCGTCTGTCAGGAAGATGACCAGGGACACGCTGCGGTCCTCAATGTCGTTGTGCGCCACGAAGTCGTTGAGAAGCCTGATGCCCCTCTGCAGGGCCCCGTTAATATCTGTGCCTGCGGGACATAGAACAGGACACCTGAGGATCCTCGCCACCTCCTCTACCTGGACACACCTTCTCGGGCCCCTCACGGGCACCTGCAGCAGTGACGCGTGGGGAAAGCAGCCACCTGCATTCATGGGGCGACTCCATGTCACAAAGACTGCTAGAAACTTGGCAAATGACTAGGAACAGCAGAGAATTATATAACCTTGTCCTGAAGGTGTCTGATGGCACCTCAGCTTAGGCGTCTCCACTCCCTTAGCGTGAACGGTTTCTACCTCTGTTTTGGAGAATCACTTTGGAAAGGGAAGGAGGGCGCTGGGTGCAGGAATTCAGTGAAAGCAAGCGTCCCAGAGGGAAAGGAACGGCACAGAATGAGGAGGTGGCGATGCGGAGACCATCGCGGTGACCTCACTTATGTCCTGGGGCTGGAGGATGCTGATTAAAGCACTCATTTTTTTTTTTTTTTTTTTATTGCTGTCGTTGTCTTTCCTGCTTCCTGCCCCTTCAGGATCACCCCTGCTTGTTAGGACCCCACCAAGCGAAGGCTTTCAAGTTTATACCTCCTACCCCTGCCATTTCTAATTCAGACACGCTTGTCATTGCAGCTCTGATTAAAGTCAGGGGACAGTGTCTGTGGGAGGTGCTGGACAGGTATTTTACTTGGGGGATGGAGAGACGGATGGCTGGTGGAAGTCAAAACTGCCAACTAACGTGAGGTTTCTGGATTAGCTAAGAACTTCATTCAACTCTGCTGCTGCTGTTCTACCATCGCCAAGAAAAACAGAGTTCTTACTGCAGCCGTGAATACTTACTTCCTTTTTCTGACTCCACTGGGGTTTTTTTTTAATGGCCTTATTGACATACCAAAAATTTCATGCATTTTGGTCGCTAGGGATTTTTTTTCTTTTTTTACCGAGCTGCATGGGTATGCAGGATCTCAGTTCCCCAACCAGAGATCCATCCCATGCCCCCTGCACAGGAAGTGCAGATTCTTAACCACTGGACCACCAGGGAAGTCTCAAAAATTTCACCCATTTTAAGCACACAATTAATGATTTTTAGTAAATTTATGAAGTTGTGTACCCATCACCACAATCCATCCCCCTGACTGGAGTGATTTTTATCTCCCTGCAAAATGTACCATGTCTGAGTGAACCAGACAATTTTCTCCACTGCTTCACATCCTCCAGAATTTCTGGCTAAAATACATATGACTGTGACTGTGCAAACACATTGATAATTCGTTCTAAGATGTACACATGGCCCGAATGTAAGGGAAAGTTACAGCTGAAACAGTATTTAACGTTTCTTTGGGTTCACTCACTTGCCTTTCTGAATGCCCAGCCTAGTTTCATGCTGTCTCTGGACATGTGGGCATGAACCAAAAGGCAGGTGTTTATTTTCTCTTTAACCTAGAACGTAACAACGATGCCAAATCTCACACTGCATTTTTTTTTTTTGTGGTACGCGGGCTTCTCACTGTTGTGGCCTCTCCCGTTGCGGAGCACAGGCTCTGGACGCGCAGGCTCAGCAGCCATGGCTCACGGGCCCAGCCGCTCCGCGGCATGTGGGATCTTCCCGGACCGGGGCACAAACCCATGTCCCCTGCATCGGCAGGCGGACGCTCAACCACTGTGCCACCAGGGAAGCCCTCTCACTGCATTTTAAAGCCCAGGAGAGCCCAGGCAAAGGACGCACTTAGCTTTTCTTACACGAGACACCAAAGCACAGCACGGCTTGGCATTGAACGTCCGTTAAGTTGGGGCATCTCCCACACGCTTAACAACAGCGGCGGGGGGGGGCTTTCTCCCCAGGAAGCTACCACAACCATTCCACCGAGAGCTCCCCCAGGGTCATCAAAGGACCCAAGTGCACCAGCAAGAGGGACCACTTGGGTAAAATGGCCATATCTGACACCTAGAGAGGACTTCCTATGTGCAGCCACTGTTCTAAGTACTTTAAATATTTTAACTCATCTCATCCTGAAAACAAGTCCATTATTATCCTCACTTTACAGATGAGGAAACTGAAGTATAGGGAGGTTAAATGACTCATAGCTGGTAGAGCTGGATTCAAATCCAGACAGTCTGGCTTCAGAATCTATGCTCATCTCCTGAAATGACACTTTTCTGAGAGAAGCAGATTAATTTTCTGTTCACCTGCAGAGGTTGGGACAATGAAGTACCAAGAAAAAATAAAGGAAACCAATAAGGTTTCTATGGCTTAGATTCCAAAATACACACAACTCTTTTCTACAGCTTTATCTCCACCTCCCACACACAAAGGATTCTCACAGCAAGCAGTACCACTAAAATAATTTAAATAATTTTAATGCATATTCTTTGAGTATATGCACTGTAGGTCAGGAGCTATGACAGGAAACAGGGGCTAAACAAAGACGAAGGAGTTTCTTCCCTCAAAGACTTGACCATCTTGTCAACTTCCTGATGTAGATCATCACTATAATATTAAATATAACCTTTCATTTCTCCTATCAACCAGTAAAACGGTAACTAGATAGTGTTGCTGTAGAGACTGGTAGGAAATCCCATTTGTAAATCAAAATTCCATCCAAACAAGATCAAGTCCCAGATGAAGTTCATTTGGGAAACCAGAACTTTGCCTTGGATGGAAAATAACAAATATACGAGCGATGAGAAACTCAGATGGAAAAGGATGGACAGAAATGGGTGTTTTCTACGTTTCCAGGTATCCAGAGCAGAATTATCCGAGACACCCAGGAGATGGTGTCTCTACAGGGGCCTTTAAGAAAGGTGTCAAAGGGTCAGGTTCAGGTCCAATAAACACTCCAGTACTGAGCACCTGCCACGCATCCACTGTCCTAGTGATGGACGTAACAGCAGAAGTCAGCTCTGTGTCCAGGGTTGAAGGAACTCACATCCAGCACGGTTGGTAACACGCTGTTCTGACTCTCTAACCTTAGAGTCCTTTACAGCCTTTTCCTGCATCTGCGTACTTACCTCATCACAACTCCCCAGCCAAGTGTGCAAAACCTCAGAGTCCTCCCCTTTCCACCCAGAGCACCGCCCAGGCCACCTGGGGTCCAAGGGATCTAACGGCTCAGGAGGGCAGCTTCATCTGCTGCTTCCTAAGGTGCTCATATTCAAACACACAAAACACTAAATTATGCATTTGCCTTTCATTCCCCACCCCAAAAAACAATTTACAAAAAGAGCTGCATTGTTTGGGATCCGTGAGATAAACCAGGAAAGGCTCCAAAACCTATCAGGTATTTCCCCCCGCCCCCTAACTTACTTGACCATCTTAGTTTGGGGCCTGGAAGAGGAGAAACAAGCTCCTGGGAAAGCTCTCCCCTGTTATCTCCTTTCCTGTGATCAGCGTCAGCTTTCAAATCCTCGTTTCTGGGCAGAAAGTTAGCTACTCACGTATCCCATCGAGGCGAATGGGCAAAGCAGGATGCACATTTACCTCCGGTCGGTGACATGTGGTGAATGTAGACTTTGCCGTCTCTGATATTGTTGGGAGTAACTGACACCAAATGGTCCTTCCACACTTTGACCCGGTTGGAAAATCCAATGATATTGAAACGGTCCTGGGGTCGGAGGTCATGCAGAATCGTGAAAAGGGCATCTTTGGTCTAGGCAAACACAAAAGCAAAACCAGTCACGTCTGAGCACATGAGTCCACGCGTCCCCTGGCTTGGAAACTGCACACCGGGGACAATCCCAGGGTTAAAATTAAGTGCCTGCTACATAAAGGGACTCGGATAAATGTCAAGGAACTTTGTCACCTAGCTGGAAAAAAAAACCCAGCATTAATATGTTACAATTTTATATAAGACACGAATGGGTGTTTGATATATGAACCATCACATCTGCTGGAATCCACGGTGCATCAAGCCTCTGTATCTTTCACCACTGCTATTCTCTAGACCTGGAATGTTCTTCCTTACTGCCTCATGCCCTTGTTTCATCTGACAAGGCCCTCATCATTCAGAACGCAGTTAACATGCTATATTCTCTATTTGCAACACTTTCTAGCTCCTCTAAAGAGAGCGCACATCTTCTCTCCTGTAGGCTAGCACTGTCCTCAACATACTCACATAGAAAAGTGCGTATTACCCGTCATGACTACAGTCTGTTTCATGCCTCCTTCCCTTCCTCCAGTGTCAGCTCTCTGAAGGCAGGTGCATCTATTTTCTTATCACCCAGAGCAGAAGAGAACTCCTGACACGTAGGAGGCGCTGGAGAGAAGTTTAGAGGATGAACGAACGCATGGACACTTCATGAGTTATAGATGAAGGGTACGAATGATAAATATCACTGGAATTTAAAAGAGAACGAGGGCCTCCCTGGTGGCGCAGTGGTTGGGGGTCCGCCTGCCGGTGCGGGGGGCACGGGTTTGCGCCCTGGTCCGGGAGGATCCCACGTGCCATGGAGCGGCTGGGCCCGTGAGCCGTGGCCGCGGGGCCGGCGCGTCCGGAGCCTGTGCTCCGCGACGGGGGAGGCCGCGGCGGTGAGAGGCCCGCGTACGGCAAAAAAAAAAAAAAAACAATTAAAAGAGAACGAAGCACTGCAGGCTGGAGTGATGTGAGAAGGTGTCACAGAGAAGGGGGACTTGAGGATGAGACTCAAAGGAACTGGGTAACTTGAGAGACGAGGGAGGGCATCCCGAAAGGAAGCAAAGGAGGTCAGAGAGATGGCTGGAGGAAAGCAGAGAGGTGACACAGGTGAGTTCCACAATATACAAGCAGCTCATGCAGCTCTATATCAAAAAACAAACAACCCAATCAAAAAATGGGCAGAAGATCTAAATAGACATTTCTCCAAAGAAGACATACAAATGACCAAAAAGCACATGAAAAGATTCTCAACATCACTAATTATTAGAGAAATGCAAATCAAAACTACCATAAGGTATCACCTCACACCAGTCAGAATGGCCATCATCAAAAAATCTACAAACAATAAATGCTGGAGAGGGTATGGACAAAAGGGAACCCTCTTACACTGTTGGTAGGAATGTAAATTGGTACAAGCACTATGGAGAACAGTACGGAGGTTCCTTAAAAAACTAAAAATAGAGCTACCATGTGATCCTGCAATCCCACTCCCGGGCATATTATCTGGAGAAAACCTTAATTTGAAAAGATACACACACCCCAGTGTTCACTGCAGTGCAATTTACAATAACAAAGACATAGAAGCAACCTAAATGTCCATCAACAGAGGAATGGAAAAAGAAGGTGTGGTACATATATACAATAGAATATTACTCGGCCATAAAAAAGAATGAAATGATGCCATTTGCAGCAACATGGGTGGACCTAGAGACTGCCATACTGAGGGAAGTAAGTCAGACAACTATCATGTGATATTGCTTATATGTGGAATCTAAAAAAGGGTACAAATGAACTTACCTACAAAACAGAAATAGTTACAGATGTAGAAAACAATCTTATGGTTACCAAGGGGGAAAAGGGGGGAAGTGATAAATCAGGAGATTGGGATTAACAAATACACACTACTATATATAAAATAGATAGCTAATAAGGACCTACTGTATAGCACAGGGAGGTCTACTCAATACTCTGTAATAACCTATATGGGAAAAGAATCTGAAAAAGAATAGATATATGTGTATGTATAACTGAGTCACTTTGCTGTACACCTAAAACTAACACAACATTGTAAATCAACTATACACCAATAAAAATTAAAAAAAGAAAAAGAAAAGCTCCAGGAGCCTCGACAAGTTTCTAAAACAATCAACTCGATATTGTGAGCAAGCACTGCCTTCTCTAAACAGCATTATTGCTAGACATTGAAAGAGATGTGGCATATGAGGTATGAGGTAGGGGATGCTCATTATATAACTGCCATGTAACGTCATTGCCATGTCATTGCCATGACCTCTGCCACCCTTCACAGGGGTGTAGAGCTCTTCACTGTAAGGGCAGGAGGGCTGGGGTTCACCCTGGATCCATCACTTACTACCTGTGTGGCCCTGACAGATAAAGACAAAGAAATACTATATGATATCACTTACACATGGAATCTAAAAACAGAACAAAACCCAAACCCACAGAAAAAACCATCAGATTTGTGGTTACCAGAGGCACCAGGTGGGGGCTGAGGGAATTGGATAAAGGTGGTCAAAAGGTCCAGACTTCCAGTTACGAGATAAATAAGTCCTAGGAATGTAATGTACAACGTGACAACTACAGTTAACACTGCTGTGTGGTATATTTTAAAGTTGTTATGAGAGAACATCTGAAGAGTTATCATCACAAGGTAAAAAAAGCATTTTTGATCTATATGAGATGAGGGATGTTCACTAAACCTATTGTGGTAATCATTTCACAATAAGTCAAACCATTATGCTGTACACCTAAACATACACAGTGCTGAATATCAACTGTATCTCAGTACAACTGGCGGGGGAAAGATTAAATGACAAAAAATTAATGGCCCCAGTCTCTGAGATCCTCTCTCAGCACACACATCTATTCTGCACTTATCATACTGCATTATCATTATTTCCTCAAGCCCTTTCCCACCTCAGGACCTCTTCACCTGCTGTTCCCTGTGTCTGGAATGCTCTTCCCTACAGTCTGCATGACCACTGGCCCCTCCGCATCCTTTAGTTCTGGGCTTACTCGCTTCTCTGTCCTCTCAAGCCCAGAACCCTGCTTCTCTGCCTTCACAGCGTCGATAGAGAGCATGTCATTACATATTTGTACATTTACCTGACTGTCCAACTCAGCTCCATGCCTCCGAGAGCAGGAGCTTTCTCTGTTCCATCACTCCTGTGTCATACCCAGCTGTGCCTGGCCACACGGCAGAGTCTTGATACATTTTTCCAGAGAAAAGTGAATGGTGAATGAACTGTCCATCTGTCACGCTAGACTCCACAAAACAGCTGTCCCCTTGCTCCTCCTCACCCAATACAACAGTTGGCACATTGTGGGCTGTCAGTATGTCAGTAAATATCTGTTGAATGAGTAATTGAGACATAAAGAAGGAGAGAGAGAGGGAATTCTATGGCATGAATACAAAGGAAGTAAAAGAGACACAGCCCCCATCCTTGAGAAGCTAAGACAGGGAACACTGAGGATGATGATGTGCAGGAAACAAGAGCTAAATGATGGATAGCATTAAAGCAAAAATAAATAGATCAGATCATGACAATAAACAGATGTGGGTGGAGTGCCCTGAGCACTGATGCTGACAGAATTCCCGGAAGCTTGCCTCACCTTGACCCCTCATCCTTCCTTCCACTCAGAGCCAACACAACCCCAGCATGAGCAAAGACAGGCTTGGCGTCATTCTCAGTCCAAGAGTCTAGACCTCTGGGAAGTCTGAAGGTCCACAACTGGGAGGTGACAGATGGGACCACAGCAAGCGGTGGCCATCCCTGAGACAACACAGTTTGGAGCCCGACACTAAGGCAGGCACTTGGAAATGTTCCCGCTGCTGGGGCTCAGAGCTGGCTGAGCACCCCAGGGTGCAGGCTGGACCTGGGGAAACTTGTTAGAAGCTGCCGTTTGTTTAGCTGCTGGCATCCTTAGGTTCCTTAAATAGCGTGCTAAAGCCCTCAAGAGGGGCTGGCCTGGCTCCTTTGATGATTTTTTTCCCCATCGTGATGGATGCTCTGCTTTAGGGATAGTCCTTCGAGCCTCTCCACCCTCCTCCCCTGAACTCAGCAACGACGGGTTTCTTATGACCTTGTAAGGCCACAGCTGTAACTTATCCTCATGTGCACCAGGGCAGGCAGACCCGTGGGCTCCCAGTGGCTCTATTTCCAATTGCCTTAGAACCTTTGGTCTCCAAGGCCTCATCCAAGAGACCCGGGCAGAAGGTGCCTGGAGCCACCACCATCCGTTAACCCTTTCTGAGCTCTGACCGTCTCCTTAGATGGCAGGTGGCCTAGGGAGCTCTGCGTTCTGTAGAAGGCTGAACAGGCAGGAGGAAGGTAAGGGTCCAGATAGAAGAGTAAACGTGAGGGGGCTTCAGCTGATACTTCTGCGCCCTGCGTTTATACGCTGAAGATGAACAGAAACCTGGTCAGACTTTTTCCAGAAAACAGGGTAAGCGCATTCCAGAAAGATCAGAGAAAGCCCAGAAAGGCAGAGAATGTACAATCCAAGCTGCTTTGAAGGCCTGAGCTACCCTGATTGATCAGATCCACCCCCTGTGGGTCCCAGAGAGCAATCTGCAAAGACCAGTCTGTACATGTAACGAGAAGGGCTCCTTATGACATTCCAGGTTGTGTTTGGACTGAAGAAAAATACAAAAGGCACACAGATAAAACGAAGAGAGGAAAAACTTATTATTCAGATAGTAAAGAAGCACCTTGGCCTGGAAGGAGCATTTAGACAAGATTCCTTTTAATCTGAGCCACATAGAATCACAGAGAACAGGGATGAGTCCCTGCCTGAAACTATTCCACGGTAAGTAATCCTTCTTTTTTTTTTTTTTCTAAATTTACTTATTTATTTTTTATTTTTGGTGGTGTTGGGTCTTCGTTGCTGCGAGTTGCAGTGAGCAGGGGCTACTCTTTGTTGCAGTGCGCGGGCTTCTCATTGCTGTGGCTTCTCTTGTGGTGGAGCATGGGCTCTAGGCGCGGGGGCATGTG